TACAAAGAACTCAAATCAGAAAGAAAAAAACAAACAATCCCACCAAAAGTGATCAGTTTGTATGTAGATCTGCCATTTGATGTGCCAGGATTAATAATCTAAGTTAAATATAACTAAAGGAATTCATTATTAGGAGATCCGTCTTACAATAAATGCTCCAGAGACTCCTTCAGACTGAAGTAAAAGAACAACTAGGCAGTAACTTGAATCCAAATGAAAATTAGAGATCATTGGTAAAGGCAACTACATGAGTAAATATAAAATACAGTATTAATGTATTCTTACTTAATAACTGTATTTTATACTAACTTATTAAAATATAATTACATAAAGCAATAATTATAAATGTGTATTTGTATGATAACAGTAAAGAAAGAGGGAGGGTCCAGAGCTATACAAGAGTAAAGTTTGGAGATACAATTAAAATTAAGATTGTATTAATCTCATCTAGATTGTTATGAATTAGAATGTTAATTATAATCTCTAGAAAAAAACACTAAAGAAATAGCTGAGAAAATATATTAAAATGAAACAATATAGTTAACTTGGAGAAAATATTTAACACAAAATAATATAGTAATGGAATAATAAAGAAGTAAGAAGACATGGAAGTAATGGAATGATAAAGAAGTAAGAAAACAACAAAAGTGAGATTTAAATGCTACCAAATCAGTAATTATGCTAAACTTAGATGGATTCAACACTGTGATCTAAAGGTAGATATTGGTTGAGGCTGGGAGCACTGGCACGTGCCTGTAATCTTAGCACTTGGTAGATTGAGATGAATCACATGAGGCCAGGAGTTCAAGACCAGTCTGGGAAAAATAGTGAAACCCATCTCTATAAAAACAGACACACACACACACACACACACACACACACACACACACACACACACACTTTGTTTAAAAATTGGTGCTCGCTTCGGCAGCACATATACTAAAATTGGAAAGATACAGAGAAGATTAGCATGAAAAAAAAAAAATTAGCCAGGAGCGGTGGTGCACACCTGTAGGATTAGACAGGAGGATCACTTAAGCCCAGGAGTTCAAGGCCACAGTGAGCTATGATCATGCCACTGCACCCCAGCCTGGGAGACAGAGTAAGACATTGTTTCTGGGAAAAAAAAAAAAGTAGGCAGATATTAGAAAAATGGACAAAAAATGGGATCCAACTGAGTGCTGTATACAAGAGACACATCAAGGTTTAAAATACACAAAGTGTTAGAATATAAAATAATAAAAAAGTATACCACAAATGCAGTTATGAAAGATAAAATAGGCTTCAAAAAATTATTTCTAGGAACCTAAAAAGACATTTTACAATGATGAAAAGGTTAATCTGTCATAAAGACATAATACTTTTAAACTTATGTGCACCTAAAAATGTACTCTCAAATTTATGAAGCAAAAACAGAATTAAATGGGGGAAAAAAGGCAATTAAGTGCTAATAGTTGAATGAACTGAACTAAACAGAAGATTGTAAATTGTAAACCAAGACCAAATATGACTGAGAAAATTCTCAATCAGTTTTAGGGTTTATTGGGCCAAGGCGGAGGATGCACCCTGAAAAAAAAAGGCAAGTTCCAGTACAATCTGTGACATGCACTTTTTCCAAAGAAGGTTTTGAGGGCTTCAGTATTTAAACACAAGAGATTGAGCAGTAAGAGAAAGAGGAAAGAAAAGAAAAGCCCTGCTAACTCTTTTGTCTTTAAATACTGATATCCTCAAAACCTTCTTTGGAAAAAGTTACATTCTTGTGTAACCACAAGGTAACTGGTTACATTCTTATGAGGCTTTGATTCACACTTACTCTACATTTTACATGTAAAAAGATAAAAAGAAGTGGTAGAGGAACAAACTGTTAATTATACATTTGGATTGTACTCTGTTAATCTACATTTTACACAACATAAAGTAAGCATGTAAAATTGTATCTCTTGTGACAAAACTAAATCAGTTTTTGCATGACTATTCCCAAGCCTAACTTTCCCTTTGGCATAGTGGGTTTGGAATCTTGAGATTTTATTTTTTTTTTTACATATCCCCACCACCATTATTCAAAATATTTTGGTGAAAGCATTGTAAAAGAAAACGAGTTTCTGGTGGCAGACTTGATCTGATCCCTTGTCACTAGGATGATTTATTCCTAGAAAGATAGGTCCCACATTGTAAGGAAGGCTCATTGCAAAAAAACACCCTAAACTGTAAATTCTGTAACTTTCTACTGCCTACCCCAAACCTACAAAACCAACTCCTATCCCACCACCCTCCGTTGACTCTCTTTTTGGACTCAGCCCACCCACACCCAGGTGAACAAACAGCCATGTTGCTCACGCAAAGCCTGTGTGTGGGAGTCTCTTCATTCACAGCATGCATTTAACACCTTCATTTACCAAACATATCCTGCTTTCCTTTTACACTTTGTATACAGAAATTTTTTATATCCATTAGCTGTATGTACATATATTATAATGTTAATTCATAGTAATTCTTATTTTTAGTGAAAACCTAGAAGGTTAGAAATTTTCATTATGTATGAGGAGCAAAGCGCAGGACAAAGGACAATGCCGGAAACTAGGCTTCATCATGGCTCCTAATGGCTTATATCTAAACACCTAAATGTATAGGGAAATAGAAGCAAAGTTTTAAACCTTAAAGCATCTAGCAGAGACAACATCTGAACTGCTGGAATAATTCAAATGAAATGTCCAAATTAAATTGAAATCATTCTGTTTATCAAAAATTTGCAAATTATCTCTATTTACTAAAGTTTAGTAAAGTCATGTGAACTAAAAGGCATTTGAGTTAAAATTTTTATTTTTCTGTTAAAATATTTAAGTGCTTATTATTTTAAAGCCAATTAATTAGAGCTCTTTTATATATTTTGGTAGTAAAACATCACATTCAAATGACATGTATAAACACATAGACCTTGAAGCAGATATTATAGATTTATAAGTTCATTATTTGCCTCTGTTTTAAGTTCTTCTCTCCCACCTTAGACTATCAACTTCTTTCAATTACCTGTCTTATTGCCCTAGGCAATCGTTGGCCAGGCAACCTTAAATTTGCATTTCTAAAGGGAAAACTTGTGTAAAACAAGATTGAGAATTTATATTTTAGAATCACAAAGCTAAAATATTAAGCTTAAATATTGCATCACCCTTTGTTCAAACCAAGGGGGGGAAATGCTGTAAGTAAAAGTTCAATTAAGACAACCAAAAACGTACTTTAAACAAAAGCATATTTGTAAATTTAAAACAATGATAAGAATTCCAAATATACAGAGGTAAGCACCCTTACAAGTGGAGATTTCCTTAAAGACATAAATTTCTTTGTAGGAGAGCCAGCTAATGCTAAAAAGTTGTATTTTGACTTTTACTTAGTCTTGTTTCTTAATTAAATTACTGGTTTCAGGGTCCAGCCCTTTAGTAAATATGGGAAGGAGAGCATGCCGTCTTTAGGACCTAATGTAACCAGGGGAGCCTATCCAACTCCCAGAGATCAGAGGTTCTTGGCCTTGCTAACCCTGAAGAATGGGGAAAGGGGCTCCGGAGGTGCAGTGAGTTTGCCACTCGAATAAACATTGTGGGCCCAAAGAGTTTTGCAGAGAAGCGATTTATTAGAGAGAGAGACGAGAGAGAGAGAGTGAGATGGCTCCCAAGCTGTTGTGGGAGAGGACCCAGAGAAAGAATCTGTTAGGTAGGAACAGCTGGAGTTTTAACCCTTCAGTTATTCACTCCCCATTCATGTTCTCATCCAATGAGAGGAGTTCTTTCCTCTGGAGTGATTGATCTTTGACTCTGATATCAGATTTGCTACTTGGTCCACAGCTCTGAGTTACAGAGCCTCCTCCTCCCAGAGCTTTTGGCGGGGTTTTTTGGGACAAAGAATCTTCACCTGGCTTTCCCTCCCCAGCCCGAAGGCTGGAAACCCAGACAAAAAAAAACTTTACATTTGAAACCCCTCTGGTTCTTGGATGGAGGCGGGGAGCTGGGAAGCTACTGCCTTCGAAACCACACACTTCGTGGACCAGGAAGAGAAGCTTCCATAACACAGTCCCTCATTAATATTTAAATATGTGAGAAGCAGCCATAGCTCTGAGGAAAAACAGAGATCCAGCAAAATAAAAAATCTCATTTTTACATTGAATCCTGGGATCAGAAAAAGAAGGAAACATTGGGGGATGAGACAGTGCAATGCTTCCAAAGTACCTCATTGTAAAGATATTTCACCAGGGCTGTGGGGCGACCCACAGCCTACTCAAATGTCAGCCCATTTCTTAGCCATCATAAAGAGCAAAGGTCAAATTTTCTTATAAAGCAAAGTAATTTCTGGTATCCCCCAAAGCTGAAAAGATCAAGTACCACAATGCAAAAGAATGCAGAGATTTAGACCTGAGAAGTGTCTACCTATTGTGGCAGGAGTTATTAAGAAATTATTTTAGTCAGATAAAGAGGAAAAGGAGTCCTTGGAAAGTTTTCTTTTCTTTTAAAGCAGCTCCAGAAACGTTTCTTGTTTAGCAGGAAAGCCCTGGCTCTTAATGCCAGATGGCAACCTTAGATATGCAAATGCAGGCCGTTAGAAACTGGGTCCACCCAAACAAGGTGATTCCCACCACCTTCTTGCCCTTGCCCCACGTGTTCCTGGCAACGTGGCTGGCCCCCCATATCACCACTTGTGTAGAACATCATGGCACCCTGTATTTGCATATTAAAAGGCTAGGGTAGGAGGGTCAGTTTTTTCATGGACTAGGTGGGTAACTTGCCTGGTCAAATCAATCCTCTCAGCCCTATGCAAATAAGACACCACCTACCACCTCCTAATATAAGCAGCGAAGTTTCTGCCACATATGGAGGTCTTCTCTCTTGGCTTTGGAGCCCCCTCCCTCTGTTTCTGTACAAGGGAGCTTCTTCTTTCTTTCTTCTTCCTTCATTCTTGCCTAGTAAACTCTCCACTCCTTAAAATAACTCCATGTGTATGTTATGTTACTTTACCTAATTTATGCAAGACTGGAGCCCAGGTGTTCCTCCACTCATTGAAGCCATATCACCATGACTCTTGAAACTCTGCAAAGAAATCAGAGTACCCCAGAAAAGGGGTAAGTGGCACCTTTATTCTGAGTTCTTTAAGGGTCTGGGTCATTAGAAACCTTCTGTACATCTTTTCATTTGGCATTTATTATAGTAAGGGGAAGGACGAATACACTGAAATAAAAGTAAATGAAAGAACAATTTTTAAGAAAAGGAAGTGAACAGAAAAACCATGCACAAGCATTTATTTTAAAACGTTTTAATCAACTAAAAAAAAATCCCCAAACAGGATTCAAAAAGAGACAAACATAAAAGACTTATATATAAATAGATCATCTATGTATCAGATACCAATATATAGATATATGAGTTATGTATATATTTAAATTAATATATGTGTATGTGTTTATGTATATGTGTGTATGTATTTATATTTATATGTCCACTGTGCCCCACCCTGGTGCCAACACCTCTGCAGGTATGAAAGCACAGAAGGAGGCCAGAGTCCCCACCAACCCACCCTAAATGAAGACTGCTGCTGCTGTCAGTGTCTGCATGGAGGATGACAGCCCTGGGCCTGCCAGCACTCCTATGCAACCACCAAAGTATGCACCATGCTATGCTGACATTGCTGCTGGCTTTAGTGAACGAGCATGGATTCTGCTGCAACTGCCTCACAAAGTGTGTTGGTTGGGATTACCCTTTGAATTTTTGTTTCCAGTGGTCTGAGAACATCTTATCCCCTTCAGTGAGGCAAATTCCCAACTTTGATAGTCCAAAGAACAAAGCTGGGAGCCCTATACCAGCCTCCCAGAGTGCACAACCCAGGAGTGCTGAGCTGAATCTTGCCCCCCTCCCAAAATCTATCAGAAACAAAGTCAATCAACTGCATTCATTTTATACCACAGCAAACACCCAATGACATCAAACAAGATCAAAACAAAAAATTAAAACCCATCCAAAGGACAGTAACTTCAAATATCAAAGGAACTTCAGCCCACACAGATGAGAGTCAGTGCAAGAACTCTAACAATTCAAAAAGCAAGGTCTTCTTACCTCCTGATGACTGTACTAGTTCCCCAGCAATGGTTCTCAACTAGACTGAAATGGCTGAAATGATAGACATATGATTTAGAATATGGACAGGAACAAATATCATTGACAATCAAGAGAAAGTCAAAACTCAATCCAAGGATTTAAATGAATACAATAAAATAATACAGGAGGTGAAAGATAAAATGATCATTTTAAGAAAGCATCAAACTGAGCTAATAGTGCTGTAAAACTCACTTCAAGAATTTAAAAATACAATTACAAGTATTAACAGCAGAATTGACCAAACTGAGGAAAGATTTCAGAGCTTGAAGACCAGCTGTCTGAAATAACTCAGTCAGACAAAATTACAGAAAGAACAGTAAGAGAGTAAACAACTCCTCCAACATATATCGGATTATTAAGTGAAGCAGTTTTCCATGCAAGAGGCAGTCTAAATTATAATAATATTTTTGGCAATACATAAGAAGCACAAAACTTATTAATACACTGACCAAAAAAAAAAAGGAAAAAAAGAAAGAAATATGGGATTATGTAAAGAGACCAGATCTATAACTCATTGATAGGGATACCCATGAAAATCTTCACAACTCTGCTAGAGAGTCCAACATTCAAATCTGGGAAATGTAGAGAAGCCCTGTAAAATAATATACAAGAATTCTATCCCCTTAACACATAGTCATTAGACTTTCCAAGGTTGAAATGAAATAAAAAATATTAAAGGCAGCTAGAGAGAAGGGGCAGATCTCCTACAAAGGGAACCCCATCAGCCTAACAGTGAATCTTTTAGCATAAATCTTACATGTCAGAAGAGAATGGGGGCCCATTTTCAGCAATCTTAAAGAAAAGAATTTCCAACCAAGATTTTCATGTTTAACCAAGTTAAGCCTCATAAGCAAAGAAGAAATAAGAACCTTTTCAGACAAGCATATGCTAAGGGATTTTATTACCACCAGATCTGCCTTACAAAAGGTCCAGAATGGCATGCTAAACATGGGAAGGAAAGATTTTTACCAGCCATTACAAAAATATGCTTATGTACATAGACCAGTGACACTATAAAGCAATCACACAAACAGGTCTGCATAATAACCAGCTAACAATATAATGACAGCCAAATTTGAACAAATCAATACTAACTGTAAGTGCAAATGGGCTAAATGCTCCAAATAAAAAGCATAGAGTGGCAAGTTGGATAAAGAAGCAAGACCTAACAGTATGCTGTCTTCAAGAGATCCAGCTCACATGTAATAACATCCATAGTCAAAGTAAAGGGATGGAGAAAAACCTACCAAGAAACTGGAAAAATGCAAAAAGAAAGAATTGCTATTCTAATTTCAGACAAAACAAACTTTTAACCAGCAAAGATTTTTGTTAAAAAGCAAGAAAACAAAAAAGTGCATTACATAGTAGTAAAGTACTTCATTCAATGAGAAGACTTAAGAATCCTAAATATATACACACGAAACAAAGGAGCACCCAGATTTATACAACAAATTCTTAGAGACCTAAGAAGAGACTTAGATAACCATACAATAACAGTGGAAGATTTCAACAACCTGCGGACAATGTTAGAGATATCATTAAGGCAGACAACTAACAAAGATATTTAGAACCTAAACTCAACGCTTGACCAAACGATCCTAATAAACATCTACAGAACACTCTTCTTTTTTTTTTTTTTTTTTTTTTTTTTTTTTTTGAGACAGAGTTTCGCTCTTGTTACCCAGGCTGGAGTGCAATGGCACGATCTCGGCTCACCGCAACCTCCGCCTCCTGGGTTCAGGCAATTCTCCTGCCTCAACTTCCTGAGTAGCTAGGATTACAGGCACGTGCCACCATGCCCAGCTAATTTTTTGTATTTTTAGTAGAGACGGGGTTTCACCGTGTTGACCAGGATGGTCTCGATCTCTTGACCTCGTGATCCACCCGCCTCGGCCTCCCAAAGTGCTGGGATTACAGGCTTGAGCCACCGCGCCCGGCAGAACACTCTTCTTAAAAACAACATAATTTACAATCTTCTCATCTGCACATGGTGCATATTCTAAAATCAACCACAGAGTTGAACATAAAACAATTCTCAATAAACTCCAAAAAGCAAAATCAAATAAACCATGCTGTCAGAACACACCACAATGGAAATACAATTCAATATCAAGAAAATATGGCTCACAACCACATAATTACATGAAAATAAAACAACTGACTCCTGGATAACTTTTGGGTAAATAATAAAATTAAAGTAAACAACAAGAAATTCTTTGAAATTAATGAGAACAAAAATACAACGTACCATAATCCCTGGGACACAGCTAAAGAGTTTTAAAAGAGAAGTTTGTAGCACTAAACACCATGAAACAGTTGGAAAGATCTGAAATTAACAACCTACCAACACAACTAGAGGAACTAGATAAACAATAGCAAACCAGCCCCAAAATTAGCAGAAGACAAGAAATAACCAAAAATCAAAGTCAAACAAAGTGAAACTGAAGGAAATTGAAATCTGAAACACCATACAAAAATCTACAAATCCATAAGCTGTTTCTTTTAAAGAGCAAATAACATTAATAGACCACTAGCTAGACTAATGAACAACCAAGAGAGAAGATCTAAGTAATCAAATGACTTAGGGGACATTACCATTGACCCCACTGAAATAGAAAATAACCTCAGAGAATACTGCGAACAATTCCATGCACACAAACTAGAAAACCTGGAAGAAATGAATAAATTTCTGGAAACATATAATCTTACAAGATTGGACCAGAAAGAAATGGAGTCTCCGAACAGAACAATAATCAGTTCCAAAATTGATTCGGTAGTAAAAAGCCTATCAATGAGAAAAAGCCCAGGACCATATGGATTCACAGCTACACTCTATCAGATACATAAAAAGAGCTGCTACAATTCCTACTGAAAGTATTCCAAAAATTTAAAAGGAGCGACTCCTCTTTAACCCACTTTATGAGGCCAGTATCATCCTGATACCAAAATCTGGCAGACACAACAAAGGAAAACTTCAGGCCAGTATCTCTGATGAGCATCAATGCAGAAATCCTCAACAAAGGCCAGGAATGGTGGATCATGTCTGTAATCCCAGCATTTTCGAAGGCAGAGGTGGGTGGAGTCCCAAAACCTCAAAAGTAGCAAAGCTGACAGTGCAGCCTTCAGTCTGTGGCAGAAGGCCTGAGAGCACCTGACAAACCACTGGTGTAAGTCCAAGAGTGCAAAAGCTGAAGAACTTGAAGTCTGATGTTCAAGGACAGGAAGCATCCAGCACAGGAGAAAGATGAAGGCTGGAGGACTCAGCAAGTTAAGTACATCCACCTTCTGCCTGCTTTATTTCAGCTGTGCTGGCAGCTGATTAGATGGTGCCTGCCCAGATTGAGGGTTGAGTCTGCCTCTCCCAGTTCACGAACCCAAATTTTAATCTCACTTGGCAACACCCTCACAGACATACCCAGTAACAATAATTTGCATCCTTCAATCCAGTCTCTTTTAACTGCACTATCATGGGGGCCGTGGCCATAGGCCCCCTAAAGTTTTGCTTAAAAATCACTGGCATGAGGCAGATTAATTAATAGAATAAAAGGATACAAATTTATTTAATTTGTATACAAAAGAGACTTCAGAATGAAGACCTTCCCAACAATAAGATTAAAAAGGCACAGTAAAGAATGCAGAATCGGGGCATGGCCAAAACCAGGTTGTGTTGGTAAATCAGATTTAGAGTCACCACAGGTTATGAGGGAAAGAAAGGCAGAGGCTTGGCTAGCAAAGGAGACTTTGTTATGTAGTTGAAGATTTGTGACATGTGGTTTTTCCAAAGAGGGTTTAGAGGACTTCAATATTTAAAGGAGGAAGAGAGAGCAGGAAGGGAAGAAGGAGAGGTTGAAAAAAAAGGCAGGAGAGGGTAAGCAATGAAGCAAGTGTTTACATTCCTGTGAGGCCTTGGTTAGCATTCATTTGATCTACATTTTATATGTGAAAGAGGTATTAGAGGAACAATTATGCATTCCTTTTACACTAAGTAAATCTACATTTCACATAAGATAAAGTAAGCATGGGAAATTACAGCTATTGGTTTGGTAACAAAAGGAAGGCAATTTTTGCATGACTCAATCCCTGTACTTAATTTTCCCTTTGGCATAGTGGGTTTGGGGTCCTGAGATTTTCTTTTCACAAGATCAACAAGGAAATAGAAGACCTGAACAACACCACAAATCAATTAGACATAACAGAGAATCTATAGAACACTTCACAACAGGAAAATACACATTTCTTTTAAGTGGATATGGAAAATCTTCCAGGTTGACCATATGTTAGCTCAAAACAAGTTTTAAAATGTCTTAATTTAAAGTGATGGAAATCATGCAGAGTATGTTCTCTGACCACTATGAAAATGAAATTAGAAATCAATAAGAGAAAGAAATTTGACAAATTCATATATATGTAAAACTTAAACAGCAGACTTCTAAATAACCAATGAGCCACAGAAGGAATCACATGGGAAATTAGACTTTGGAATATATGAAAATAAACACACAACATACTAAAATTTATAGAATGCAGTAAAAGCAGTGCTCAGAAGAAAATATACTGCAATAAACACCTACATTTAAAGGAGGATAGACCTCAAATTGTTACAAGGTGATCATGCAGACATGAGAAGGGTTGGAGGAGTCCTCCACCCAACCAGGAATATCAGGTGATGGTCAGGCAGTTGTTACCCTGTCTGTCCAAAATAATTATTAGTTGCAGCTAGCACCAGAGCAAGGCAGTCTTCAATAGATAGAAAAACCTGAAATTGCTGATTAGCTTCTCAATAAGATCTCAGGAGTTGGGTAAGTGGGCTCAACCTTGCACACTAAGCGGTAAAATGGCAGAGTTTAACTGGTATATAACCTTCTAGGGGTATTCAACTGCTAAGGGAAGAATGCCTCAAGTTGCATGCATACAACACACTGTGTATGCTCCCCTCCCAAGTACTAGCAGGCCACTGCACATGTGGACAGCCCACTCCAAGGGAAGAATCAGGAAAGAAGGGACACAAGACCCTGGAAGTATGCCAATGTATAAAACCCTAAGTCAAAGATCAAACAGTTCACTTGATCTCTCAAGTGGCCTGCTGGGCCTTCTTCCAAGTGTACTTTACTTCTTTTCATTCCTGCCCTAAGACTTTTTAATAAACTTTCACTCCTGCTCTAAAATTTGCCTTGGTTTCTCCTTCTGCCTTATATCCCTTGGTCAAATTCTTTCTTCTGAGGAGGCAAAAATTGAGGTTCCTGCAAACTGATACAAATTCACTGCTAGTAACATCAATAACCTAAACTTTCACCTTAAAAAAACTGAAATAAGAAGAGCAAACTAAACCAAAAGCAAGAGGAAAGAAATAAAAATTTAAGAGAAAATAAGCAAAATACAGAATAGAAAAGCAATAAAGAGAATCAGTGATATCAAAAGTTACTGTCTTTAAAGATTATCAAAGTTGGCAAAACTTAAACTAGAATAACCAAGAAAAAAAAAACAGAGAAGACTGAATGATTCATTGTGTATCCTACTTGCTAGACTGCACACTCCCTAAAAGAATAGCTATCATTGTTTTGCTCAATACTGGATCTTTACCACATATTTATTTCAGTGTTTGGCACAACATAAATGTGCATTAAATATAGGATGAATATTTAATGAATTAGTTTGATTCAATGAAATGCAATTACTTCTTTAATTTCATGCATTAATAACACTCAGTTTTTAAATCACATTCCTTTATGATTTCCAGCCTGGGTCTCTACAACATGGGTCACAAAATATCTCTTAGGCCTTCTCCATTTGAAGCTGTTACTACTGATGTGCACTGGTTCTATTTTGTTTCCCCTTTATCTGATTCTGCTATTCCCCACCCACTTCTCTAAACTTTACTTCATAGAAAACCTTCATATATGGTATTTGGACAATAGCACTTTTTTTCTTTTTCTTTTTTTTGAGTTCGTGTTATCTGATGTGGTTTTAAAATTTCCTGTTAGGAAAATAAGACAAATGTGAGTTAGGGACATAACGTTCCTGAGCTTGAATATGAAGATCATAACAAAGATTTCTTTTTTTGCAAATATTTTGCAATAATTGTTGCAGATTGTGTTGATTTCATAGCCGGCAGGCTATTATTTCTTTCATCTTTCCTACTAGAAATTGGAGTCTATTTAGATGCTCACCATTTTTTATGTGGTCCTGATGATTCAAGAGCAGTAAGAGCAGTAGATTCCATCTCATAACTGTGAAGACCAATCCTAACTGGTCTGTATAACCGTGGTGCTATCAAGTCTATGCTAGCAACTGAGTTATAAAAGGCCAATAAGGCTAACATTTGTAGTTAACATTGGTTGAGCACCAACTTTCAACAATACATTACATTCTTTTTGAAGTATGAACTCATAAGATTTTGCAACTATTTTATGTGATAAGTATACATGTTATCTCATTTCAAGGTTAAAAAATTAAACAGTTAAGATAATTTGAACTTGATTATTCTAGACTTGACAGCCTCTGATAAAGAGGAATTGGATAGATTCTCTGGAATGAGCTTTCTTAGAGATATGCTGTATCCAGGCTAGAACATTGAGTTTGCCAAATGTTCTGGTTCATGTGTAAAGAACCTGAAGGAAAATACTCTAATAATTAGAATATGAGTTAAATACAGTTATTTATGTCTTCCTTACTGGTTGTTCTTGTGTCTGCATGTGATTCTTAGAACAGACACAGCAATTTTGTAACCATTAGTGGAAATGATGCAGACTAATAAGAATAGCCAAATAGAAAGATAATTCCTGGATTCTTGAACTGCTGAAATCACCACCTCTCAACCTACAATGAGATAATAATGTTTAAACCATGTTGAGTCAATTATCTGGTACGTACATTCAGATAATTGCAGAGATGACTTACTTCTGACTTTCTTGTTTTAAGTGATTGTGATTCTTTATTGTTTTAATCAACTGACACAGAATTTTTGTTATTTGCAGCTGAAGTCATTCTTGTTATTCAAATGCAAAGAAAAGATATTAAAGATGATGAGTGAAAAGATATGGAACCAGCCCAAAAGGAATCTTAGTGTCTAAGAAGTAACAAGTTGAACATTAAGAAAAAATGAGTAAATTTCAGCCTCCACATGGTAGTGTTACCTATATCCGCCTTTGCCCCAACAAACATACACACACATGGAGCCACACAATTACTGATTAAGAATATATCATCTAGACAAAATACAAAAAATACCCAAGTAATCTAAAGACCTACAAGAGCAATTAAAATAATTTCATGTAGAAAATAATCACAACTTGGAGAAATTACCAGCATGAAGATGAGCTTCCCAGTGATATTACAGCTCTGTCTCCAGGTATAGTGCAGGATGTTTGGTTATGAGTGATAAATTTGTAATACAACCTCTACAGTTTTTCTAACTGTACAAACTAGACAAATTGTGTTAGTTTGGGTCCCCTGAGAAGCAGACTTCAATAAAGAATTGAATTGCAACATATTTATTAGAGAAAATGCAGTTGAGAAAAAATGAGGAAGACTCCAGAAAAGAATGGTGGAGTTTTCATATTATACCATGTGAGGAAAAAAAGGAAGGAAAAGAGGTTGAATGTACAAGCATTAAAATGTAGTGCAGTTCTAAAAATGTTTGTCAAGACTGATAGGGAATCATCAAATCTAAGCTGCCTGCCAGAGGAATTCTACATCTAGGAATAGGCCTGCTTCAGTTTCCCTCCAAGGTCATTCACT